ATGGGAGAGATACATGCAGCCACACAGTGACAGGGAAACAGATCAAAACAGCAATGGAGAAATGCTATTACAGTTGTGTGCAGAACATGAGCTCATCATATCAAATAGGCCTACCTTCTTCCAATACAAAAGGAGCCAAGTTAAAACTTGGTACAAATGCTATCTGTCCCCGTAGAATTATGCGAATTTAGATGGCCAAATTATGCCAAAAAAAGCCAAATTATGCAAAAATTATGCTAGTTACCGTTACACCTTTCGCGACATGTTTTGCATTTTTTCAACACAAATTTTCATGACTTTTATGTTTTAAGTACAGAAAAATTTTTAACAGAACATATCAATATCAGTAATTTGAAGTGTATTTGGAAAGAAAACAATACACATCTGTAAAAAAAAAAAAAAAACAACTAAAAAATATAATCTCTGTAACATTCAGCTGTAGATCTAGATCGAGATCTGGGAAAGAAAAATGTAAAAAAAATTTTTTTAAAAGGACATCTGGACCTCTAATGCTGGCACAATACTAAAACCAGGAACACCTGTCAAACATGAAGCATCAGCAGACATGAGAACAACTTTTGATGGATTTAAATATTGAACATGCTCAAGGAACAAAATCCCAAACCATAACCAAGATCTTCTACCAAGGGAAATAACCAACTTTTCACTTAAATAAGACTTATTACGGTGATTATTTCCCTTTACTCACATGGCGAGGCGTTAATTAATAAAATGAATTGTTTTGTTTTTAAAAAAGGAAAAAAAACGTGAAAAAACGCGGGAAATCCAAAATTATGCAAAAGTGCAGAATTATGCGAAAAAAATGCGGCCGCGCCGCGGCCACACAATCGCATAATCCTACGGGGACAGTGCTATGATCTAAAAATAGCATCCCAAATTGATTTTATCCTAGCCAAAAGATCAAAACTGAGAAAAATCAGAGACTCAAGAGTGATTCCCATCTACATCACAGACAGTGACCACAGACCAGTCATCATGACTACTGACATACCAAACAGGAAAAGGCCAGAAGCAAAGAAACGATGAGAAGTCGTAAATATCAGAAATATAAATGACAATAACAAGGATAAGATACATGAACGTTTGAAAGATTTCACAAATTTCCTCCAAAATTGGGAGACATGGAAGAGGAATGGAGCCACTTCAAAGCATGTGTGTACAGAGCATTAAAAGAAGAGTCCGGCACCAGGAAATACTTGGGTCTCTAAGGCACAATGTGAGGTCAGTGATTATAAAACATTACCAAAATTGATTAACTTTTTTAACTAAAGTTTAAAAATCTCTTGGCGATGTATTTCCCTGTCTCGTACATTTCAAAAATGAAGAGAGGGAGCCAAAAGCTCAAGGTGAAAATGCGTGACATCATGACTCTGCGCGATGTCACGGTGGAAGGGTTCAGCTAGGTTTTCGCAGATTTGGTTGATAAAAGGGTATGACTACACTAGCTAAGGTAAGACTTCTACGATAACCATTTAAACGTTTTCTGGAAGAACAAAGAATGGTTTACCAACAAGGGTAGTTTGAAAAAAATATGACGTGAAAATTTATCAAAAATCAATTGTTAAAAATTGTCTATTTTTCAACTTGAAACATTTCGAGACTCATTAGTCGCACATCGACCTGGAAAGAAGCGTTTTGAAGGCCATCCACAGGTCTTTAAAGACATGTATCGGACTTGAATGTTGGTCCCCTAAATTAAACAAAAATATGGGCAGTTTGAACCTACTGTCGCGATGAGACGTCATGTCCGGAAACAAAACCCTATGGGACTTTCCGAAGCCAAATGACGCTATAGTGAGCGCGTTCACTGAAGAGCCTACTTACAGGAACCAAAGTTGAAAAATACACAAATAAACATTACAGATGTATTCTACAAAACCATACTGGAAATTTGGTAATAGAAAATATGTCAATATTTATTTGAGTTTGTTGCCCCAAAGACCTGTGAACTGAGCACTAGAGTCTAGTCACCATTTCATTTCGCCCTCCCGTAAAAATTTGTCCACAAGCCGAAAATAATACGTAGCCACAGACTTAAAAAGCGCTCGTTGAATCCGTGTCATTTTCATTGATTTTAAAGAAGAAGAAAAACGGGAAATCCATCTCCTCTCGTTGAATCCGAGTTCTCGTTGAACCCGAGCTCTTTGTCTTTGAAACCGAGTTCCACACTGTATACTATATTATAGCCTACAGTCAGTAAGAGCAGGAGAATGCTGGCATTTCTGATTAAAGAGAAAGAAAAGAACAACAGTCAAAACCATAAAAAATAACAATCATCTCGGTAGGTGTGTCGAGGGCCTACCGCATCCACATCTGAAATCATTATATACAGTCAAACCTGTGTAAGACGGCCACCCATTGTCAAGGAGAAAAGTGTCTGTATAACTGTCCCCGTAGGATTATGCGATTGTGCGGCCGCAGCGTTTTTTTCGCGTAATTCTGCAACATTTGCATAATTTTGGATTATCCACGTTTTTTCACGTTTTTTTCCTTTTTTTTCACAAAACAATGAATTTACGCCTCGCCATGGGACTAAAGGGGCGTAATCACCGTAATAACTCTCATTTAAGTGAAAAGTTGGTTGTTTCCCTTGTTAGAAGATCTTTGTTAAATATATATAAATGGGTTGTGATTTTGTTCCTTGAGCTTGTTCAATTTTTCAATCCATCAAAAGTTGTTCTCATGTCTGCTGATGTTTCATGTTTGACAGGTGTCCCTGGTTTTAGTAATGTGCCAGCATCAGAGGTCCACATGTCCTTTTTTTTTTTTTTTAAACATTTTTCTTTCCTCTATTGATCTAGAAATCTAGATCTACAGCTGAAAGTTACAGAGATGATTATTTTTGGTTGTTTTTTTTTTGTTTTTTTTTTTTTGTTAATGATGTGTATTGTTTTCTTTTCCAAATACACAACAAATTACTGATACTGATAAGTTCTGTTTTCAATTTTTCTGTACATAAAACATGAAAATCATGAAACTTCGCATTGAAAAAGTGCAAAACATGTCGCGAATGGTGTTACGGTAACTTGCATAATTTTTGCATAATTTTGCTTTTTTTGCATAATTTGGCCTTCTAAATTTGCATAATTCTACGGGGACAGGTATAAGACAGGTGGCCGTCTTAGGCAGGACTGATCAAAATGAAGAAAATGACCCATTCCCATCTGAGGTCCCAATCAAAAGTAGTCCCATTGTTGCTGTTTTTGTTGGTGGTGGTGGTGGTTTGTATTTTGTTTGTAATTTTTATTTTGTTGCTGATTTTGCACAAGGGTGACAATAAAACGAAATGTATCAGACGAGGAAGACTGCCCGAGAGCAATGGTAAAACAAACACATGGGTCGCCACCACTCGGAGAACGAGCGACGCTTCTGTCACAAGTTCATGTTGACGTCCTATTGTTACTTTGTTACAAACTGGGTAAACAGTGACCATTCATCTCACTTACGATTTGTGTATGAGTTCTGGGCGGGGTTTATGGGTTTTGAGGGATCACATGCTTACCTCACCAGCAGCTGAAAATTGGTAGCTATTGGTCAACAGTGGGAGGGGCCTACGCAACTGTGATCGGTTGGAGAGACTACCTAACAAAAACGACAGGTGATTGAATTATGACGGCTCGCCTACAACGCCGTGGTCCAATGCACAATTTATGACAAAACGTAATGGAGTCACTAAGGTGGCCGTCTAAGACAGGTATTATTGCTTAGTGTGATAGGGGTTGTGTGGTAAAATATGGTGGCCGCGGCCGCGTTGGACAGGAGCCCGTTTTACACAGTTAAATTATATAGAAAAAGGAAGTGGCGTAGTGAGAATAGAATACGATCGACCTCTCACCGCGGGTGAAACTTGCCACCGTAGGCTATTCTCACCCGGTGTGAAACAAGACCTGTTTTTCCTAATTTCGGAATACTTTCTATCGATGTGGATGAACAAATGGATAAAGGCAAAGAAAAGATTACGTTATAGCACAAAAGTAAGCAAATTTTATCGACTACAAAGATGCTATGACTATTTCACTTTTCAAATCGAGCCGAACTACGGGGGTCGTCATTTTGTTTTGCCCGGAAGTTCTCACAAGATCTACTCCTCCCCTTTTCTTTCTCTCTGTCTCTTTCTGAATACTGTCTATCGGTGTGGACGATCAAATTGACCAAAACAAAGTTAAAAAATGATGGTAAAACACAAAAGTAAATTAATTTGGTTGTCTACAAAGATGCTACGGCTACGAGCCGAACTACGTGGGTCGCCATTTATTTTTACCCGAAAGTTCTCGCGCTACTCCTCCTCTCTCTTTCTCTCTCTCTCTCCACTGCCCACAGACAAAATTGTACGCATTTAGTAGGCTAACAGTAGTATTGGAACGTTTGTTCACGGCACAGAATTCTACAATTTTTCTGTTATCACAGTGCAGAATTCTGTGGTTTAGGGTGAACGCAAAATCGGTTGGCCTAGATCTAGGCTATAACGGTGAACGCGCACCGGATGAGAATAGCCAAAAGACTCGCCTGCACTATTCTCACCCGGGGTGAGAATAAAGGTGGCCACAGAAAAAACCCAAGGGGGGGAAATGGAAAGTGGCCGTTTGTACAAGTGGCCGTCTTATAGAGGTGGCCGTCAGGGCAGGTTTGACAGTATTATAATATGAATCATGTAAAATGTATGATGATCTTACCTGATGTACCGTGTTGTGGAGGGATTCTCCTCAGTATAGTATAGGCATAGATCTGGGCTGTCTGTACGTAGGACGTAGGCCTATGCTCTTCACACAAGCACATCGATCATGCCTAAAGCCCTCCTATTATGGAAGACAATTTCATGACTTATTGACTTCCTACGGCGATCAGCCAAAGGCAACCAAATTAAATTGTTGGGCGAATTGACGTAATATTGGGATTTCCCGCTATCACATCATTCTTCATTCTTACTAAAAACTGTTGTCGTGTCGTCGTAATCTGAGAGGTCCAAGATGCCAATATTGAAGCATTATTAATAATCTTTAAAATGTCAAGCTCAATATGAAAAAATAAATAGAAGAATCCCAGGTCCCAGGTAAAAGATAAAAATGTTGCTTTCGATATTTTTGTTTACAACAGTGTCATGGTACAAACTAAAGGACAAAGATAACTCCAACACATGAGAATGCAATCTCTCAGCTGGAAGAGGGAGCATGCATTATTTTTTATCTTCTTAACCGAATTTTTGCATTGGTCGTTGACGAAGCTGAAAATTTAAGATACGATGCTAACAGTAACAGGCTCTCGTCAAATTTGGGGCAGATATAATAATAAGAAGCCATTGTTTGCGTCTCAAAGCTTGTTCGTTTTTCTTGAGTCTGATAAAAAACAACCCTTCTATCGTCAATAGAAATCGAGCTATTTGCCATAGTAGAAGTAAAAGGAGGTGGAGCCTGTTGCCTGGTGACTGCCAGACCCCGATATTCCCCTGGTTTAGTTTAGTTACGTTTTTGTGTACCGCTTTGCGTAGGGCTACCGTGAAATCGAAGCTAGGCCGACACAGACCACAGAATTCTACAACACAGACTCAGCCTCGATCGGGAAAATCAAGATCTATTTTCGCTCTTGTAGCGGCCCAGAATTTTCCGATGACGATGATATTCTCAATACTGCAACAACTATGGCATGTAGGCATTATAAAACGCAACGATGCCATGCAAACAAATCAATATTCGCAATTATGCTGTAACTTATGAAAATGAAAAGAAAAAGAAAGTGTTTAGGCCTACTAATTTGGGCTACATATAACATATAATATAGCCCAAAAATAAGCAACCCCCTACCCAATTAAAAAAAAATAAAAAAACACCACCAACCTGCTAATTAAAATTAGGGCTACCGTTTCATCGTACGTATTTGCTTTCCCAATTAGGCATCTTTAACTTTAAATTGCCGTTCAATTTAGTTTCATCTCTGTGCCCGGCGACAGGTTCACTGAAGTGTTTTGATTACAGACTACAAATTAAAGTATAATTTATTTATTATATATCAGGTATTCTGAAAAGACGGGAAAGCGCTGGGGGGGGGGGGTGTTTGTTTGTTTGTTTTTTTGGCCCGCAAGAGCAGGACTACTGGAATGACGAAACTAAGTTTATCATCAAATATTTTACTACATAATATAAAAATTAAGGACTATCAAAATGGCTTTTCATAAAGTATGCTTTTTACTTTACTTTTACCTTTTTTCCGCCGCTTTTACTTTTACCCTTTTGGGTGTCGCGAGAAGAATCAAGAGACGTCTCTCTGCCACCACCCGGAGAACTTGGGCCAGGGGGATGCCATGAGTAATTGTTAGTGTTTCCATGACTCCATCCATCCAGGTCTTTTTGGGTCGCCCTTGCTAGCCTTGTTGCCATTGATTTATTTTTTTATATGTGGGCACGTTGTGCTGGATGGAGTGTTGGTAAAGTAATCGCATGTGATGTCCGAACCATGATACTTTGGTGTTGGTTGGATGTGATGCATGACATCATTTGCCTTCCATTTCTCTGACTACTGAGTTTCTAAATAATTAATGTCAACACTCTTTGTGACTTGACGAGGACTTTAATAATCAAGCACAATGAAGACATACGTCAGACGATGCATGACTGGGACAGAAACGGAACAGAAATAAAGCAGATGAATATGATTGACAAATAAGGGAAATAATAGTAATGGACACAAGGAA